CAGTGTCATTCACACACTCCAGACTTTCTTCTCCTCGGACTATACTCCCAGAACAACACGTGTGACCACAGCACCACAAATGTCCTAGTGCCTCTGGAAAAAGTGCGCAGGGAACCCGTCCGGCCCCGGGGCCTTAGTAGGGAACATCTAAAAAAGCGCCTTCTTAACTTCTTCCTCCTTGTACGGCGCCATGAGAGTCTCATTCATCACTGCTGTCAGCTTTGAGGGGACATGTTGAAGCACGTCATCTAACCCCTCCACCCCTTCCGAGGTGTATAAGGCTTTATAGAAATCAAGTGCCAACTTCTGCATCTCTGATAAATCGTCTGTTAGCTGCCCATCTTGCTTCTGCAATGATTTTATCAATTTTTTGCGTCGCCTGTTTGAAGCTCGGAGGTGGAAAAGTGTGTATTCCTATCCCCTCTGACAACCATGCCACCCTTGATCGTTGGCGCCACATTATTTCTTCCCGAAGATATAGTTCGATCAATCGATCATTTGTTTTAATCTCAACATGGCTCGGTGCAGTCCTCGCCGGATCACTCCTGAGCCGCTCCAAGTCTTTCTTCAACCTCCTTATCTCTGACTTTACACTCCCAAAAGTTGACTTACTCCACTCGCCAAATTATTAGAGAAGGATTGTAAGTTTGCTCGGACTTTCGCTGCCGTTAGTTTAGGACCGTTCGCCTCCCATGCATGCTGGACCATGGGGATTAGCTTGGGATGCGTGTCCCACATGCACTTGTATCGAAACTGTATTTTTCCATGCTTTCCTCTATCCGGTGGATCCAGCCTTAGACTGATAGGAGAGTGATCAGAAGTCGCAACTATGAGATGTTCCACCGCTGCTAGGGGGAACCAAGCACACCACTCGGGCGTTCCCAAAGCCCTGTCGAGCCTGACTCTTGTATATGATCCACCAGTCACCTTCTTTTCAAACGTCCACTTATGACCATGGTAGCCGAGATCAATTAAACCGCACACATCAACTGCATCACGAAAACCTTGAATCTGGGTTTGACTTCTCTGGCCAATTCCCTCGTTCTCATCATAGCAGAGAACCTCGTTGAAGTCCCCAATACACATCCACGACATGTTTTGGCGGGCTGCCAGGTTTTTCATCGTGTCCCAAGTTCTATAACGGAGGTGTGTTTGTGCCTCTCCGTAGAAACATGAGAGCCTCCAAGGATCTCCTCCCATGTCTGAGATCTTTGCATCAATATGATACTGCGAATAGCCCAAAATCTCAATCTTTATTTCGTTATTCCAATACAAAGCTAAATCACCGCTCCTATCGGTGGAAGGGTTCCGCAAAATAAGAATCAAAACCTAAAGTACTTGCCAAACTTTTAGCTCTATCTTGGCCAATCTGTGTTTCAACAATACAAAGTACTATAGGGGCAAACTTTAGAACGATTTCTCGTAGCTCTTGAACTGTCGGGGTGTTGCCTCGTCCCTGGCAGTTCTAGCTTAGGCAACTCATTGTGCTCGGCGGCCCTCCACCGGGGAGGCCGCCGCTTTAGCATTAGGATTCTTTAAGACCGTCGAGTTCTTCCTCCCACTCCAGTTCAACACCTTCTCTGTTTGTCGTGAGAGTCTTGAATGTTTTGGGTCTTGTTTCGGTGGTGGGCTAAGGGGTAGACTTGCAACACCACCATTGGTTTTCTCCATAGGGACAATATCCAGGCTTGAACTAGCCGCTGCGGGTGTGAGCCGACCCACTACCTCTTCAGATGTCCTTTTGCGGCTTGCATCATTCTCCTCCATCTCAGTATCCTCACCCTCCTTCTCATCATCCTGTGTTTTTGCCTCCTCCCTCTTTACCCCTAGTTCTTTGCCCATAGTTGCAGCGTCTAGAGCCCCATGCCGTAGTAGTAGGTGCCCTCAGGTTCTTGAAAACCAGGGCGGAGGGAGGGTGCACACCATCACCATGTTCCTTGAATTCGTGGCCCATCATACCACACACCTGACACCAATCGGGGAGTCGCTCATATTTCACCGCAAAAATTTCTCGCTGACCACCACGGACGATAGAAATCGCTTTCTTCAGCTGCTTACGAACATCCAGGCGAATTCTCACTCTATAGAAATTACCTTCAAAGTCAAAAGATGACGGCTCTGACTCCACAAAATTGTCGATCTTTGCTGCCAAGGACTTGACCTTTCCGTGGTAAGCAATGGGTAGGTCAAGGATTCTCGCCCAAATCTCAAATTTAAAAAAGCTCAATTGATGTGGGTTTAGATGATCACTCTTTCCCAATCCCCTAGGCACTCAAACTATACATGATGACCAAGTTCTCCGCTAGGGTTTTGATCTTGACCCTTCTTGCTAGATCCCGTGCTGACCGCATGTTGCGGAAGAACCAATAAGTGCTGAAAGTTTTGTCGATGTGAACACGAACCAGGGTCATCCATCTGAGATCCTCCTCTGGTGGCGCCTCCTCCTCCTCGAAGACGACATCATCTAGGTCATCTTCTTTCAGGGCGAGTTCCTCCATGAGGTCCTCGAGCTTCCCCTTCCCCTTGCTACCGGACACGACCGGAGTGCCTTGCTTCGCCATCTTCAGGAACATCAGATCCGATCTCACAGGTTCGACGCCGCCAACACAGCCAAAACCCTAAACACCTCCAGCCACGCCTAGCCTCCCACCAAGGCCGGGAAGCAGTGCTAGACTGCCCCGTAGTCAGCCCGAGCTCAGGGGAGCGGCAGTGAAGGACAGAGTTTCTCAACGTCGCCTGTGGCGGCGAGAGGAAGCCAAAACCCTAGCAAGAGGGAAAAAGTTTTGCATCCGCCTCTTTCTGCTTAGACACCTACACGCCAAGTAAATAACTTTTTTTAAGCAACTAGTGATCCCATCAAATACTTTTTATATATAATAGATGCTCTTAGAACAGCTGCAGTGCAGGCTGAAAGTGAAAACTGGACACACCGCTATTGAGAAACAGTAAAACTGAGCCACCTACGATGCCTCACAGCGACTTGGGGCTCTTTACCGTCCGATCACGTAGTTGAACGTCTCAGATCTTTCACAGTCGTCCCGCATCGTCGCTGAGGCACTTTCGGGCATGAACGAACCCCGCTCGGGCCGCTGCTCCGGAAACCGGTCTAGGTGGCCTGTGGTTGAGCGGGCCTTTTCCAAGTGGGAGGGGCGCCCACTCACACGGTTTGGACGGCCCATTATCACTTCTTTGCTTAGTGGCCCGCCGAGGGTTTGCTTCTCTGGCGACAGACCGTTCAAGATTTACACGACATGGAGGGGCGCGTCGCCTCCTTCGCCTCCACGACGACCTCGCCTAGACCGGGACAGGGCGCTCGATCTGCGTCCCCAGTGACTGACATGCTTGTTCCAGAGTTGCCCGCCATGTTCTATTGGCTTCACCTCTGACTGATTCAGCCATTCAGGTTCCCTCTTCTCTCTCTCTCTCTCTCTCTCTCTCTCTCTCCAGATATTAACGCAATCTGACCAACATAATTTGCTGCATGTCATTCTTCCAGACTCTGTCACTGAATCCTACCCTAGCGAGCAACCATGGTTGAGAGATCCCACGGCCAGCGACGGCGCACGGGATGGCGGCTGGACGCCTTCTCACCTTTCAGTGTAGGAAGTTTTGGCAACATGATACAAGTAAGGAGTAGATAAGGACTAAAATTGTTGCTCTGCTGATGATCTATATGTGAGCACGATCATATTCCCATTGTCGTGTGCATCTGCTTCACGTTTATTTATTTTCCAGGAAAGAATTTGAGGATCTTGCGTATATTTTGACGTCAGTTGTGCTCGAGTAATATAAAAATTGGGGGTACCTAGAGTTTTCACAATTGATAACAGGTGGATTAGTGACAATTGAGTACTACTGGTTAGACCTTGTGTCTTATCCATGATTTGGAGCTATACCTCATGTGCAATTGGTAGTTGGTTGAAATCGAGTGATCAGAACACATCCCCCTCATTGGCCATATTTAGTTATTTCATGAAAATTTAGATTATTTGGACTCCCCGAACCATATAGATATATCATTATTGCTGACCTTGAATTGATAGAGAAAATTTGTGATTTAGGTATATATATTATTCGTAGCATGGTATCATATATAGCATTATAGAACATAATTTTTTAGAACTTACCCATTCTTCACTTGTTAATGGGCACTTCTATTTCCAATTTTGAGAAAGGAGATGGAGTAAGTTATTTATCTCATTTTTAACCGATCTCCAAGAACTTAGCTCCCCTACTTTAATTTAATTTATATGTGATTTTTATTTATTTCATAACTTTTAAGAAGTATAAAAAATAAAAATATACATCATTTGCACATTTATTTTTGGCTTACGTGGTGAGGTTAGGTGTGCAACAATTCAAAGATTCAACGATGGTTAAAATGCTTAAGGAGGACAATTTTGTATATTGCCTTTACAACTACGAGGCTTGACATAAAAACAACACAAATTTTCAAGCGCAATTTAAAAGAAACAGAAGCAATATCCATTCTTTATTACCCTACCTTTAGGTATAAACCACCCCTTGTTTTCTCACAATGAATCATTCATGTATCCTCACTTTCGAGTGTTTCGTATTTATTACATATTATAACTCTAATTTTTTTAGACAATATCATCGTTACTGTTTTAAAGATGGACGGCGGCGGCAGAGCGCGCCTATATGATCTAGTCCTCTGTACAGCCTAGACAGAAGCCCAGCACAGCATACTCCTCATTCACTTCCCCTAAAAAATAAAAAATAAAAACTTCCCCCGTCTTCCAGTTCCACGCCAGACCTCACCTCATCTCGCCGCCGCGCACCCAAAGCCTCGCCGGCGGGGACGGGAGCACCTCAAACGGGCTTCCTCGCCGTCACTCGCTTCTCGTCTGGTACGTACGCCACACTCTTCGTAGATCCTCTCTTCCTTCCTTCCTGCTCCCTTCACCCATGTCGACGGATCTGCAATCTCTCCTCCCCCGCCCCCGTTCGCAGATTGAGTGCCTCCTCTCCCCACGGCGATGGCGGACGGATCCAGGGACATTAGCAGGCGGCGGAATCCGGCGGACAAGCTCACCGAAGACCTCCTCGTCGAGATCCTGTCGCGCGTGCCGTACAGGTCGCTGTGCCGCTTCAAGTGCGTCTCCAAGCGGTGGCGCGGCATCATCTCCCACCCCGACCACCGCAAGGCGCTGCCGCAGTACCATCTCCATGACCTCGCTGGCTTCCTCTACTCGAGCCGCGGCCCCAGCACTGGCTATTTCTCAACTGACAATTTCACCCATGTCTCGGCGGGAGGCCGTGCTCCTATCCGTCCTTCGCTCCCCTTCCTGCCTGACTGTCATCAGTTCCACCTTCTGGACAGCTGCAACGGCCTACTCCTCTGCCGCCGCTTCAAGACCTTTGGTGCGGGGGCATTTTATTACGTGGTGTGCAATCCTGCCACGGAGAAATGGGTCGCCTTGCCCGGCATCTTCAGCAAGATGCAGACAGCTCGCTTGGGGTTCGACCCGGCCGTCTCCTCGCACGTCCAAAACCGGCTAGGATAACGAGTATAAGTTCCTCTGGCAATGGTTTTCTGCATTTGGTTGACATCTGGTCTGCGGTGGTGGTGGCAGTGGATGTGGAGGGAACTACTTGGAGGGTTATTCCTATGCCATGCAATCTGTTTGGCTCTACAATAGATCTTGCTGTCGGGTTCACTGATCTGTCTCAAGGGCGTTTGTATTTCGCAAATATTGATCATCATGATTGTCACAAACTATTGATCTGGGTTCTTGAGGACTACGACAGTGAAGTGTGGGTATTGAAGCACAGCGTTAGTCCTTTTGATCTACTTGGAGTGAAGTATGTCCATCGGGGAATCAGGTTTCACATTATCGCCCACCTCCCGCAACGAAACATGATTTTCTTAGTTTATGGGCATGACAAAGAACTCATGTCTTATGAAATGGATAGTGGAAAAGTGCAGCTCATCCGCCATCTTGGAAATGGTTCCATGGGACCCTATTTTCCTTATGTTCCCTTGTACTCGGAGGAATTGGCAGATTGGAACTGATAGTCTGGCTTGCATATCGCCATTCCATTGTCGACCTTTCAGATAATGTTGAATCATAGGTCCCTTGTAATATCAGCAGCTATCCGGTTAGATCCTTCTGATGTTGTGTTACTTCTCTTTTGTTGTCGGGTGTACTCTGTAACCTAACTTTATGGGGCTAACTGTTCTAGTTAACTTAGTAGTGCTAGCTGCTTGTCTTGTGTAAACATATACTATGTGTTTATGGTTGGTAGCAGCATACGGGCAGCAGCCTTTGCTATTTAACTTTATGGAGCTACCATTTATTTGTACCACGGCTGCTGTTTGTGATGTCCAGATTGTTGTGTTGGGCTCTTAGTGGATGCCCTCTTTTACAAATATTATATGTGTATTATATGTTGAAGCTTATTGTGCATTTTAGCTATGTAATTGTATGGGCAGTAAAGCATGGGAGGGAATTTATGTTTTATTCCTCTTGTCATTGTAGTGAACAGTAGAGCATGTGAGTTTATGTTCCTTCGCTCCTGTCAATGTTGAAATGATCTGCACTAGTGAAGCAAAGCTATTCTTTTCTGTGAGATGCTGTTTAGTCTGGAGTTTACAGCATCAAAGGTAAAAATTTCTTCATTCCATCAATATAACAGCTTGATTCACTCTGTTTAATCTGTCGGATCCCAAGTCTACTAACCTTGTGTTGATTTGATCTAGAAAAATTGCCTGATTTACTTCCTGCTGTACTTAGTTGCAATGTCTGATCTTTGCCAGCGGATGCTTTGAGCTGTCGTTTAATTTGATACAGAAGGATAGGTGCCATCTTTTTCAGAGCCTCTATGGTATATCCAGATTATTTATCGGGATATTTACAGTAGAACTCTTGGAATTTTAGCCTCCGTGCGCCCTGACCTTTGTCCCTGCTGGTGCCTCACGTCCAAATGGGTTAAATAAACAGATTTTGCAGCGTCGAAATGGGTATTAAATAACAGATTTTGCAGATTGCGAGTTCAGGTGTAACTTCAGAATGAATTCTACGTGTTACAAAGCCAAGGTGCATCTTGATCGGATGATGGCAATCAATCACGACATTGCTGGTCCGATCATCTCCACGACGGGCATTCGGGCCGTTCGATCATCTCTACGACATTCGGACCGTCCTCATAATGTTGAGGAAGCTCGGGAGCGAGTAAACCACAAGGCTCGAAAACAAACACCAAATGATGTAACCTCTCCAAGTGAGGTGACCAGACCCAAAATCCATCTTCAGGTCATGCGCTGATGAGCACATTGATCTATCCATGTGGCGGTGATATTGCTCCCCAGCTACCTGGATGGATCTCTTTTCTTCCTGTAAAACAATGGGAGTTTCTCTGAAAATATGAAGCAACAAAACCAATCCTAGTCTCTCAACCTAGATGCGAAGTTGCAGACAGGATGACATTACTACTATCTTGCACCCAACCAAACCCTAACACCACACATAGGTACAACCACTGCCTCATCCCTCATAGACAAAACCGCCGCGGCACAAGAGAGTAACTTATATAAACAAAACCGAAGCTCAAACAGGTTCCTTATATATACTACCAGTACATGTTTATTGTTCTTCAGCAGAACAGTAAATACATGCTTTTTAGCTGCAGGAACAGGAAAATGGTTCGCCGGAATCAGGCCTTGTACACGGCGCAGGCCTTCTTGGGGATCCTGGTCCTCGCCCTCTTGGCGTCGACGCTGATGCGGCACGACACGTGCACCCTGTGCGTCACCCGCACCAGCTTGCCGATGACGTAGCCCCGGGAGACGAGCTCGAAGTCCACCGTCAGCGGCACCGTCACGTCGTTGCCGGACAGCGAGAGCCCGCCCCCCGCGCCGTAGAGGGGCACCTTCTCGCCGTGGATCACCGCCGACACCAGCCGGTGGCTCTTGCTCGGCTGGTAGTACTTGTGAACCTGCGTTCACATAGGAGAAACGGACAAATGAGTTGCCAGGAAGAAGAAGAAGCGCCGACAACAGGCACCTCTCTCTAGGCTGTTACCCAGAAACCAAAAAGGGGCAGGGGACGCTGATGGATGGGCATACCTGTCCAACCCCGATGGCGATCTCCGAATAGAGCAGGCGGACAGGGCCCGAGGAGACATGAATTCCGAACATTGACGCAGGGTTGTACACCACCATGTTGAGGGAGCAGTTGAGCGTGACCATCTTGGTTGGAACCCCGCTGTGGTCTGTGCCCTCTCCGGCATAGAAGTTGTCCATGGCTATGCTCTGCGCAGAAACAGAGTAAAAAACAGGCTCCTGGTTAGTAGTAGAACATTTTTTACAGAACCTTCACACTGAGAAATTCAGATCCGCAGCAGAAGTTCACCGTACCACTATGGTACAAAGGTAGTACATTGTACTGTGTTTTATAACTACTGTGAAACTTTTTTTGTGAACAGGGGAGGGTTTGGAAATGCGAGTGAGACAGTCGACAAGCTGGGCTGACCGCAGTGGCAGCCGACAACATCTCCATCATAAACAGCACAACGAAGAAAATAAATTTATCTTGCCTCGTGGTCATTGTTTTATGTTTCTCTCTCTGTATAGTATTTATTTATTTAGTGGCCTAACACTAACGTCCAACGAAGTTTGGTTTTTCGAAGATGGGGTCAGAAAATGCCCAGCGAAGAAGCTGTTTGTTCTTCAGTCAGCGGTGCTTTGCCTTCGATTAACAGGATTTACATTACTAATGGTAAAAAACAAATACCCTTTGATTTCGTGTTCAGAGTAAGGAACCAATTGTAGAGAAAACAAAGCTCGAATGGATCTACCAGTAAAAAAAATTATCTGCACAATTCAGAGTCTTTGCTAACCATTCTACCCGGAGATTTAAATTAAATTAGTAATGTAATTGATGTTTAAATTCAATCTACCCGGAGACACAAGTGAAACTGGAGCAATTGATGTTTGAATTCATGTCATATTATCATGTAGGAAAATTCAGTTCAGAGTGTGCAGAGGAAGTAAAACAAACACGGTGGATGCATGAGATGAATGGATATAGTATGGGTGTACTACCTTGACGAGGACGTCGGGCTCGTAGGGGCGGGCGGCGCCCCAGACGATGAGGCAGATGACGGTGAAGAGCAGGAGGAAGCTGACGAAGGCGAGCGCGAGCTTGCAGCGGCCGGAGAGGCCGCTGTCGCCGCCGGAGAGGCCCTCGTAGGAGCCCTCCTCCTCGATGACGCTGCACTCGGGCCACCCCTTGGCGTTCACCGCCTTGAGGTCGCCCCCGCCCCCGCCCTTGCGCCCGCTGCCGCCGCGGAGGATGCCGGAGAAGCGGCTGACGGAGGAGGCCCGGGAGTGGCGGCCGTAGGACGGGTGCGAGGGGGACTCGTTGGGGCTGTTGTACACCGGCGTCGCCTGCATCGACGACGACTTGTACCCGCCGGCGCCCCCGCCGTCGTGCGCCGAGTCCCGCGACGGGCTCTGCACGTAGTACGCGCCGCCGCCGGCCCCCGCGCCACGCTTCGGCGACCGCGGCGGCGACGACGCCGCCAGGCTCGTGATGTCCGAGTCCGACTTGCCGTGCATCATCTCCGCCGCTGCCGTCCTCCTCCGGAGTCCGGAATCCTGCCACGAGACACCGGCGAGCGCCCACGATCAAGAAAACCGAAAGAGCGAAAATGGAAAAAAACGAGAAGCAGACCGCGGCTCTGCGGGAGGGTTTTGGGTTCCGGCCCGGCCGGATCGTACCTGCGGCGGGAGAAGGCAGATGAGAGCTCCCGGAGGCGGCAGCAGGGGAGTGAAGGTGGTGGTGGTGGGGCGGCGGGGAGGAGGGGGAGGCGGAGGCAGAGCGGGGGTGGGGTGGAGTGGAGCAGTGGCAGGGGAGGGAGCACTAAAAGAGGGGGACGGGAGCGGTAACGCGCCGGAAAGGGCCGGGCCAACCTCCGCGCGCGGGATCCTCTGCGGCGGTGTGCGGTGGCGCGTGCGGGGAGCAGGTGATGGATCCAGTAGCCAGTAGGTAGGTGGTGGTGAGATTTCGCGGCGCCGTGGGGTGAATGGTTTATTGGAGTGTCGGCAGCGCAGAGAATGTCTCCTCCCGCGCCGGGACCGAGGGCGCGCGTGCGTGTCACCCAGCCTCCGGTCACACACACTCCTCCCTCCCCTCTCCCCCTATTCTTTTTTTTTCAGGCCCTTTCCACACTCTACCTCTAAAAAAAAGTTAACATGCACGAGTCCATCTTAAGTCGTGTGCGTCGACCGATGCAGAGGTTGGGGCTCGGCGATGCAAAAGGGCTAGCGTGCACGCGTTCATCTTAAGTCGTGTGCATCGATCGGTGCAGAGGTTGGCGACGTGAAAGAACTAGCGTGCACACATCCATCTTAAGTTGTGTCCGTATGCATCGATCGGTGCAGTTGTTCTGGCTGACGAAGCCCACCACATAGGGTTCGTGGCGCTTGCGTCGATGAGTCTAGCATGTATCGGGTGGGATCTCTATCCCCGGATAGCTCTCTCGTGCTCTCGGCGTCGTCTTT